AAAATTATGTGATGTAGAATTTCAACTGCTGGATTCTTAATTGCTTTTTTACGACTTGTAATTGCAATACTAGAACTGTACAGTGGAGTCAAAGCATTTGTGAACAATAGGAGTGAATGCGTTGGAATCCCAAAGCACTAATTTATTTTTTTTATTATTTGTTAGTAGCACTCTAGCAGACACACATCAATTTTTAGTAATGCAGTGTTAAGTGTCAAATGTGAGCTGATAATGCCTGTAGGGCTTCTAGAGCCAACAAGTATTTAATTTGTGTTGAAAGCTCTTGGAAGACAAATACTCATCTCCAGTTGCTCTGTCTACTTGGATTCCACCTTATAAGTTCTCTTGAAAACTCTCAAGCAGACTTTACAATTAGCCAGCAAGATGTAAGGATCACCAGGAGGCAGAATGCAATACCATCGAAATTAAGCAGAGAGGAATCCTTATTCTTCAGCATTTACAAACCAGGCGATGACTGGAAATGTCTTTCTTAAAAAAGCATTGCCTATGCCACATTATGCTGCTGGTTTTTGTTTCCCTCTTGTTGTTTCTCAGGATGTCTCCCTGATCCTGACATTCTGGTTTCTTTATTCAAGCCTTTTATTTCCTCTCTAAAATTTTTGAAAATCTTTTTTTTCATGTGAAATATTTCTCATATGCTATTTTATAACTAGACCTTCTGTGTGCTTACCAGAGACTTTGTTTTGAACACAGATCAAGAACCACCTACTGCATAAGCACTTGTTTCCTGTCTTCTAATGAAGGTTTATTCCAGTTTACCTCAGTATGGCTTTCAGCAGTCTTACCTGTTCTACCTTTCAACGCGGAGTACCTCCTTGATCCAATCTTTTGACAGTTTTTCTGTGGAACAGAAAAACTCTGTCCCTCTGTCTGCCTTTTCAAAGCAAATTTTGCTGATGGCAAAAATACTGGTTTAGGATTATATCTGTATTTTCAACTCCCCCTCTTCTATCTTCAGTTTATTCATCATCTTACTGTGTTTTGAAGTCCACCAAAAGTCTTTATTCAGCAGAGTATATGAACAGAATCTTTGTTAAGCAAAATGCTTAATTATGTTTTTCAGTCGTGTTTGTGCAAGTGAATTAGGAGCATGTGTAGTACTGCACTGGGACCGGTTCCCATCCTTGTGAAGGGCAAGAATTAAGCACAACCATTATTACTAGCAGTTTGGAATAGATGGCCAGGTAGGAAGTGTAGCACTCAATTAAAATCCACTGTAGCACTATTCTTGGCTTCCATTAGAGTCACAAAAAGTGCAGCCAATGTTTCTTTAAAAATATTGATCTTTTTTTCTGTGGTGTCCTATATACGCACTCTACAAAGAAATGCCTGCTGATCTGGGTAAAATGTGTTTCTACATATTGTTCTAATTTCATCTGTCATAAAGTTGTCAGGATTTTGGAGTGAATATGAAATGTCAGACCATAAGAATCTCAATTTTAGCTTTACCTATGACTTTGAGATACTCCTGTCTTGATCAGAAGCGAAATTGATATTTCTGTCCAGTTGATACTGGATTAAACTTTTATCTTACCATATTCATCTGATAAATTAATAAGACCTTTGCTAGTTTCGTACTGTCCAATGCACTCTGGGAGGAGCAGAGGTCTTGTCAGAGCTTGGGGCAGAGGATGTGTGCAGGTCCCTCCAGCGCAGAGCTGTGACGGCCCACAGAGCCGGCAGAGGGAAGTGTTGTTCTAAAATACCTATCCCTGAAGGGAGTGCCTTTGTTGGTAACTGCAAGCCACATTATTGCACCGGGAAATCAGTGATCTGGAGCGTATGTAACATGTGATTTATAAACTCGCGGCAGAAGACAAAGAAGCTTAAGCACATGCCAAAAAGAGTGAGTGAGATGATGGATGTGAGATGTGGATGTGCCAGGGATTGAAATTAAATTATACAGAGAACTATGAAGCTTACATGTTTTTTATTCATGGTAGCATGGAATTCTAGAGGTTAAAGAGTTGTGATCTGCTGGTTCATGCTTCAGCTAACTATGAAGCTGTAGGCTTTCACATCAAAAGACGGACTCTTGAGAAACAGACAGTCAGAAAAGCACTTGGTGATCACAAGGCAAGTTGTCATAGGGTGCTTTATTGACAGAACTGGCTCGGCTTCACACACTGCTGCCAGTGCAATTGCCAGTCAAGATGTTGTTGCTCCTGCAACTCCAAGTACTGCTAGAGGGTTAAAAGACAAGTATAATGTCATATCTCTGATATTAAAAAGAATTTTCAAGAGAAAATATTTTAAAGTGAAATTTTTACTATATTGCCCTCTTTAACATACAGCTCTCTGTTATACAGCTTTCCCTTTCTTACTACATGAGATTTCCCCAAACTGTGCAAGTGAAGGGGTTGAAGCACATGCCCTGGACACCCATTAGTCACACTGAGCATAGCATTTGAAACTGGGGGGGGGGGTTATATATATATATGAATATGTATATATTCAATATATATAATTCAATATATATATATATTAAAAAAAAAAAAAGCTGGGTTTGTAGCATCTAAATATTAAGTTAAAAAAGATCAGGGGGTGGCAAGATGTGTGAAAGGAAACTCTCCCTGGATTGTCAAGCTGTTGCTTTTCAGTGTCTTATAAATGGCTGTCAAAAACGAATAGAAAGGTTGTTAGAGCTTGAAGAACATTTTCCTGATAATATGGCTTGAGAAAGACTGGAAGAAATTCATCCTAAAGTAATTGGCACTAAGCTAACCCTAAAGAAGGACAAGATCTGTTAGGTATACAGTCAGGAGCTGCACTGCTAAAACAGCGTTGTTTTTGAATAGGTGGTTAACAAAATATTTCCTTTGCTGAGATGGCATTGCTCAGGGATTGGTGGGGTTGAATGATGAGTTGAGTCCTCTCCTTGTGCTTCCCCAGGAGCTACTCAGTGTCACAGTAGAGAAAATGCAAACCTATGTAATTGTGTTGCAGTCTTTTGTTCAAGCAATTATGAACCTTATGACCATTAACTTCAGTGTTCTGGCTTAATTCAGTATTGCTATTTTTAGCACAAACAGTTCTTGGTTTTACAATTTAGTTAAACATTAATTTGTCTTCCTAGCATATTACTGACAAATAGAAAACATGGCAGGTTCTGGAGACAGACTTTTCATTTTTTTGTTAATAGAAAGCAAGATTATAGAATGAGATGTACTTTTATTTATTTTGATCACAAATAGAGGAAATAGTCTCAGCAAAATGCATTAAATAATTCCTCAGGGAACCCCTAATAGAGCAGAAAATTTGTCTCCATGATGGAAATTGAGATACAGAGAGTTAAAAAGGAGGCAGGTCATGAGATGAAGGGGAATTGGTCTCCTGGGAAGAGGCTGGCCTGCTCTCTGCTGTTTACCAAACCTCACCAAAGACTCTTGAAAAGGTAATTGCAGACAATGCCACGATGCTGACATCTTTGTGGTGACAATAGTGGCTTCTCTGAGGTTACATTACTATCAAAGTACATCACCTTAAGTAGAAACTATCAGCCTAAAATAAATACATTCTCTGCTAGGCTACCACTGTGACTGCAAGCTAGGAAAACAAACGGCTTTTTTCTTTTTCCAACACGTTTGCATTAGTATTTTTACATGTTTGGACTAACAAGTGAGCTTCACTTTTGTTTTAATTAGTTTCATTTTTGGCTCAACTGTAATACTTGTGCTTCCACAGAAGTATGCTATATTTTAATGGATCTTTTAAGTTGAAAGTAATACTAGTAGCTAAACATGTACTGAATACAATTTGAAAATTGTTAACTTTGGCAAAATTTAGTGTCTGTGCTGTTTAGAATGAAGGTGGGTTTTGCACAGCTGTGAAGAAAAGGATTTTGGTGTTTTTTGGAGAAAAAGCAATATTTTGAAAATAGTCCCTTTTTCCATGAAATTGATGGCTGGGCAAAGAATAAACATTACTATAGCAGGGCAAGTGTAAGGAGTATAATTAGAATGTATAACTGTAGAGTTTTGACTAGGTCCTTGCAGTGGAGTTAATAATAGTGAAAATATGTCAGGACAATTACTTGAGTAGATTGATCTGTTTGCACGACTAAGAGGAGGTAGACAGAGCCCATTCGTCCCAGTTCTTTGCAGAAATCTAGATAGGTATCAAAATTTTCTTTCAGACTTTCATGCCTTTACCCAGCAGAATCAGCCTCTTCGGACATCTGGAGGAGGGGGCTGCTCTGTGGGCTGGAGAAAGGGGAGGTGAAGTAGGAAAATCAAATGAATCTGTGATTTTTTTTTTTAACCTTGTGTTTATTTGTGCAATTTATTATATTTCTATCAGGTTTTCAGTGGAACTGAAGAGCCATAGAAGGGTCTCGCCGTACGGACTTCTGTCTGCTGGTGTCAGAAAGGGTGGTGGACACCAGGTGTCCCCGGCCCCAGTGGCGGGACTCCCATTGCTGCAGGGCAGGTGCAGCGGTGCTGTCCCGGCGGGTGTAGCTTGTACCGAATGTGCCCGCGCCGTTACGCTCCCCAGCACCGCCAGCCCCGCTTCCCACGGCCGGACCGGCCCCGCTCCTTCCGCCCGCACCCAGCTGAGGCCTCCGCGGGGATTAAATCGCCTCTCTGCAAGTGTAGCATTCTCTATTTTTATTTTCCAACGGCTGGCGGTAATTACTTTCTCACTTCCTCCACCTCCTCCCGCTCTCCAGCGGCTCGAGCTGTTTAAATGCCGGCACCGAGGGGGCGGCTGCTGCTTGCGGGTCGGCACGGCCGGCGCCCCGCACCGGGGGGGCTCTCAGCCGGGCAGGCACACCGCGGTGCCGGGAGCCGCCGGCAGGGGCGGTCAGGTGAGGTGTGTCCGCGGTGCTCGCGGGGCCGGGTCGGGGCCGGGCGCGGCGCTTTGTCCGCCGCGGCTCCCCCGCCCCGCGGCCCGGCCGCGGCTCCGCCGGGCGCGGCCCATTGGCTGCGGGGCCGGTAACGTGACACGGGCGGCGGGCGGGGCCGCGCCCGAGACGCGCCGGTTGGAGCCGGTGCCTCGCGCTGCGCCGGCGGCTGCCGCGCGGACCGAGCGAGCGCGCGGAGCGGGCGGTGCGGGAGGGCCGCTCCCACCGGTCCCACCGGCACGGGCGAGCCGGCCGGCACGGGCAGTGGTGGCGGCGGCAGCAGTAGGAGCAACGGCGGCGGCGACGACGACGACGACGGCAGGTAAGGGAGCGGCGGCCGCAGCTGACAGGTGCCCCGCGCCCCCGGCGTGGGAGGGACGGAAGGAGGGGGAGCAGCGCGGAGCGGGGCTTTCCGAGCGCGGCTGGCGGCTGGCTCTCGCCGCCCCCCGGTTTTCCCGGGGCTGCCTCTGCGCCGGCGGAGCAGGATGGCGCTGCCGTCCCGCGGGGCGCCCGGCGCTGCCCGCCCGCTGTCCCGGTGAGCCTGCGCGGCGGCCGCGGGAAGGGGCGGCCGCGGGGCCGCTCACCTGCCGCGGCCGCGGGGCCGCCGGGCCGGGGGGCGCAGAGCGGGGCTGTGCCTGCCCCGGGCCCGCGGGCGGGGCTCGGCACAAAACCGCTCTCTGGTTTGCGTAACCGGTATCTGCGTGTCCTCGGGTGACCCGGGCGCTACAGGTCGCCTGGGGCCGCCTCCCTCCGCCCCGGGCTCGCCCCGCAGCTGCCACCTTCGGCCCCGGGTGTGGCGGCGGCACCTGCCCGGGGGAAAGGGGCAGGCGGGTGCCAAGTCCCAACCTCCCCGGAAGGGAGGGAAGTGTTGAGGCCTGGCAATTCTGCGTGTCGAACAAGAAACAGTCCTCTTTTTTGTTCTCTTCCTTTTCTCTGTCTGGCCAATGCATTTCTCATGCTCAGGAAGTCAGTGATCTTGTAGCAGCTCTTGCTTCTGCTTGCACCCTGGCTGAGTTGTCCTGGTGACACCAGGCTTGCTTTGGGCCCATCTGTTCAGTGGTGAAACTGAGGCGCCTTCCTGTCTCCGGTTCAGAATCTGTCCATAGTGAATGCTGCAATTCTGTAGGATTGATTAAAGGGGACTTCCCTAAAGCTAATTTTATGTTAAGAATGTAATTAATTATGTGATGAGGTAAACTGTTTGAATTGGCCTATAGTGTGGTCATTTAAAAGCATACCTTTGAGGTAGTCCTAGAATAAGCTCGGAGCTGTGTGGCCACTTGTGGTTTTAAGTTTTTGTGCTGCTGACTCCCAGCTTTCCTTATCTGTTTGCTGAAGGGATAAATAAGGTGAGGTATAGTTATTTCTTCCTAAATCTTCGTTAGCGAAGCCTAGCCATGATGATAGTTATTTCTAGCGTCTCAGAATTTTTCCTTACATACCTTCCTAGTAGGAAGGGCAACAGATCAGGGCTTATTGATCTGTCTTATTTAACTTAAACTGTCAAGAAGGGGGCGAGAGCAAAGCCCATGAGGTTTAAGTAGTGACATTTTAAAGTACTTGTAGAACTTAAGTATTGTCTAACTGTGTGTTTTCTTTACTCTGTGTAGCTCAGCTGACTGTGTGGGGAATAGAAGAGTTATGATGAGTGACTTTTCTTCAGTATCTGTGGTGCCGAGCAGGGCAAAGGACATGAAATGAAATGAGAGCGGAAAGGAGAATGACTGTAGTAGAGAACCAGTAATTAGTATATGGGGGTTTTTTTAAGGGTTTTCCCCAGTGTTTAAAGCATTCTGTTGTAGCTAGATAACAAAATGTTTATCACATTAGCATATGTTATTACATTCTACTGAATTTTACATTAGCATAATGTAACTGACTTTCGGCTTCAGTAGGATTCATGTAACTTCCAGAAATTTGCAGTATTAACATGCTTCTTCCCTTACACTTTTGAGAGGAGTGAGTTGCTGGTCTGACTTGTATTTTTCTTCCTTTTTCAGGTAAACAGGATTTTCATGGGGAGAAAAAGAAAATTGCCTTTTGTTTATAGCAAGTTACCAATTCAGCTGCTGTTCGAAGTTAATGAAAGCGTATTGGATAACTTTTAGGCAGGGACCAACAATGCTAAAGAAACATCCATCAGCATTTCAGCCTTGTAAAATGAACTCGATAGAGCAGTATGTCACTGTCAAATAATTGTTTTTCTAAGGGGTTTCCGAAGGGTGGTGGAGGGGGAAATCCTGTGTTCCTTTAGCTGCTGCTGTGCCTGCTCTGCCTGATGTGCTACAGGTAGCAAAGAAGACTGTGGTACTAGTAGTACTATTTCAGCTTACAATACCTACTGCTAAAGCCTTAAAGCGTTACTCAGCTAGGATTAGAAATGGATGTTTCATGTGACTAAGGGGATAAGGTGTGGTTTATATGGGTCTCTGTGCTGCCTATCTGTTTCACACTGCTGTCTGTATTCTGTGCACTAACCTGTGGGCGGTATTTATCCTTTCTGTAGGCATCCTTATAACAGGATGTTCAGCTGTTGCCTTGCAAATAGTGTTATTCTGCCAGTTGTTCTTGCAGTTACTCTTCCTAAAGATAAGTTAGCAGTCTGTGCTGTGGCTATGAAACTGTTTGGTTCAGATACCATGGGTAGCCATGTAGAAGAGCGAGGAATGTAAAATAGAATTAATATTCTAATGTTTAAATATTCTGTCTTTTTAAAGTTTAAGTGGTATAGGTTATATAATTCCAATTAGAGTTTTACCGGACTTGGTTAGTGGACTTCAGTTTATTGTAGTTATGGGGATTCTTTTCCCCAAGTGGTTGTTAGTGGGCTACAAACAAATTCTGGATTTAATTTCTAACTAGTTGAAATGAAATTGTAATTCAATATTGAACTAAAGTGTCATAACACTTATGAATAGTTTCCCCAGATATTTGATTTAAACTTACTGATATGAAAGGGCTATACTTTAAGGAAGGCAGATGATGCAGCTCTCAATAAAGCTGTTACAAATGCAATTTGAACTATAGTGCTGACATACCCTCTTTTGGTGTCCACCCAAGAGAATTTTAGTGTCTTTCAACATCAGAAGCGAATTGTGGAGAAAACTTGTAATGCAGTATCTTCAATTTAGTGCTCATCAGTGCCATTCTGTTTCAAAATAATGTGCTTACACACCTTTAAATAAATAATGTGAGTTCATTTCCATCATAAGGGCTCAGCTTCTAAGTATGTTCCAATATTGTAAACTGGAATGCAATTTATTCTACTGGAATTGAGAATTTGGTTGACTGTGAGAAACTGAAGGATTGACAATGCCAGGGGGCCAGTGATACCAATAAGAATATGGTAGTAACACAATCTGGTTGCTGCTAATTGTTACAAACACTTTGTTTCTTTGGGTGACAATAGTTTGAGTTGTGATTTTAGTTTAATGGAAGCGATGTTTCAGTTTTGTGGCACAGCAGCTATAAATCTATGGTCATTTAGTTTACTCAGGCTTAATTAAAGTGACATTGATTTTAGAGCTCTTACTTCAAACCCCAGAAAATGTAACCCCTTATTTCCCAAATATTATTGCCTTAGTTTTGGGGGAAAAATATCACTAATCTGTGACTGTTCAGGTTGTTTCACTATTTTTTTCACTCTTTTTCACATTTATTTCACTAGTTTTTGGTAACTAAAGTTCATTTGCATCCAAATATAAAGGTCTACTGATCTGAAATTGAAGAATTGCACATTTAGATTGTAATGCTAAAGTATTTCTCCTTTAAACTAATTTTCCATCTGAATCAAAACAATCTTGATGTGCATTTGTTGTGTAATCCAAAATATTTGAAGAAGTGAGGCAATTTGGACATTTTTAACTAAAACCTCTCTGTTTCTAGACTGTGTTTAAATTATTTACAAGATAAACTGTCATTTCAAACCCATGCCAGTGCAAGTGTGAAAATGATTATTACTTTGCCTGTGCCTTTGCAGTACAGGAAAACTGTTTTCCAAGTAAATACTTTTTATTAAACAGTAACGTTGTTTAAATACTAACTGTGGTGACACTGACTCAAAGTTAGGAAAGCACCAAAATATTGTTTAATTGAAGTGAGATGGGATATGTCAATACTCAAGTGTTTTACTGAAGAGGAGTTAAAAGTAGTGTCTGCTTTGCTTCCAAGTATTATTCAGTTTCTTACAAGTATGGGGTTAGAGGTTTTTTACTTCAAAGTTCTTAATTGATTCAGTTGATGATAAAACCTTGACTCTTGTTTTTGAAGTTATTAAACTTGGCTTCATACCAAAAAGTGTTTTTCTTGTAGTACTGCTGTCTGATCTGTTCGATCTGCTCAGACAGCCTACTCAAAAAAGGAAATTCTGTGCAGTAAAGGGCTGTTGCACAGCATACTTGGTCTTGATGGAAGTACACAGGGTGAACATAGGTCCTAAACTAACTTTGTGTTTGTTCAGGAGACAAAGAAGGATTACTGTGGATTTACTGTAGAATTCAAGTCTGATCACTTGTTTGCGGTTCTGAAACTTAGCATTGTCCCGGGAGATGCTTCTGATAAGCACAGCACTGCTTTTGGCTCTCCTGATCCCATGGGGATGTGCAGCTCTCCAACTGTAGAGTTGTGTTTAGGTGTTGGTATGTAATTTGTACATAGCTATCACACAGTATGTGCAATGTGAAATCTGTCTTTCAGTCCTTTCATTTTATCAAATGTCAAATCCAAACTCCCCTGAAATGGAAATGGAATAGGGTTTTACCAATCCTCCAGCAGAGTGCAAGCTGGCTGCATAATCACCTCAACCTCTTAAGTGTCTTCCTATTCGTATTACTCTGCATTATGTATTTATTAATTGGATAAAGCAACCAGATACCTCTTCTTTTCTTTCCTTTGTTTAGTATGGCCTGTGACCTGTCTCCTTTTCTGTGAACTCCTTGTAACTTTTGTGAAATTACCAGCTTTGTTTTAGCTGACATAGTATGGAGTCACTCTGGAAGGTTGTGGGTTTGTTTTTTTTTCTGTAACCTAGATTTAATCTCTTACACTCCACTTGTTTAGAAAACCATTTCATTTATCAATGAAATGCACCTACTTGGTCTGGCTAGCTCTGTTTAATTTTTACAAGTTGAGCACCAGATTTTTTGAAAGGAAGAAAAAAAAGCCGTGAATCTGTAACTGGATTTCTTTGTTTCTTTAAATATGTATGAAGTTCTTGTTTATATTTTTGTTGGATCTGTCATACCATGAACCTGTCTGGGAAGATGTTGATGAATTAAGTACATTGCTGTGAATTAAGTACATTAGATCACAAATCCATTAGCA